CTGTATTTTCACCTTTTCCAGTCCATGAGTCATTAGCAAATATTGGACAGTTTGAACCTCATATTGATCTTCTTCACTTTTTCATGGAAGTGTTGAGTGTTGTCAAGTCAGATTCATTATTGAGGAGTGAATACTTTATATCACCATCAGCAATGAACCATGAGCTGCAATCAAAGACAGACATCAATGTGATTTATTTTAATTCTATTTATTTCCTGTAATTTTTTATTCATTGAGTCCTTTATCAGCTGTTCCACATTTTTGCCAAGGATCAATTTCAAGCTGTAAATCAGTAACAGTATTAGCCTTATAAATACTTGGCTCTCCCAATTTGCCCTTTTAAAATACTGGCACAACTTCAGCTCTCATCCAGTCTTCTGCAACTTCCTCAGCACTTCAGTGTTACTGAAAATAATGATGATTTAAAGAGCTCTTTGGCCACCTCTTAAATTCGACTAATATGCTGGCAGTTTCGTGATGTTCAGCCGGGGTGTATCGCAGGGGGATGCAGATTTTGGCATGGATATTTTACCTCACTCTTCCCACATGGAGCATTAATGATGCCCATATCGTGTTCACCATGACTTTGCTGGTGTCCCAGTTTGCTGCTGTACCAGTGCAGGTAAAATAAGGGATCCAAGACTAAAACGGCGACGAGCCCCTCACGAACAAAGCAACTCAAATCACTACATTGCAAAAATCACTTTGACACTTTGTCAGTCACACCTCACGGCAGCAATCGCTGGAACTAATAGTCATTAATTACCTTTGTCAGATGAAATTTCCTTAATTGCCTGCAACTTTACTTCCAGGAAACTCAGTTTAAAGGCCACGTCCCCCAGCAGTAATTTTTTAGGAAAAGTCCAGGCAAATTAACAGCCCACCTCCGGCTGTACAGGATCGGTACGTGTCCTGGAGTCACCTGCCTGCACCGGGAAGAAAGGTCAGTGGGATGGGGGTGGAGGAGGAAGGTGGTCAGCCAACCTGTCATGTAATCCAAGGGCATTCTTTTGTGACCTTTTCTTCTCCCTAAAAAATAAAGGAAACACAGTAGCAGTCTGCCCTGAGAGCTGCTGCTCCTTGAACCTTGACAACATGTATTCAGCGGTGCAAGGAGACATTCAGCAGCCAGCGTTCAGCAGCCGCCGTGGCTGCCCTAGCTAGCAAGCTCCCATACAGATGTTCATTGAACTGTCAGAGCATCGAGAGGAAAATAAATTAATTGTAAGTGGAAGAAGGTTAGTTAAATCTTTTCTGGAAGTATTATATAGCCATTAGATTGCATAGGAAACTCAATAATAACGGGTAATAATGTTCTTCCGAGGAATTAAATAGAAGTCCAATTTATAATGCTGCTCGCCATTCAAACCAGAGTGTTCCACCTTCCTGGTACATGATAAACATTTACTAATTAATCCTCACAAAGCCTTGGTGAGGCAGATCTCTTCACACCACTGATTCTGTTTTATAAATGGGAACAAGAAGGTACAAGATACATCCTTTGAAGCCGGGGTTGTGTATGTCTTCAAATATGATTTGGGTCTCTGGGAGCCCACTCAGCATCTGTGTCTGAATACTGAGAGATTTGTAAAAAGCCTCGGAGCCAGGATCAGAAGTCAAGGTTTCTTTGTGCCCCTTCACTATGCTCGGACCATTGTGGCATGTTTCAATATGATTCTTCAGCACTATCTCCAGAATACTGATATTTTTCCTGCATGATTGTGTTACATTGCAGGAATGGTATTTAGAAGAAAAGCCAATGGTCTTAAGTCTCAAGTAAGAGCAGTAGGAATTGGTCCATAATGTAGCTGCTAATTATGTCGAGATTCAAGGAACAAAACTTATCACCAAGTGGAAGCTGTTATTTGCAGAAGATCAGTATGGATTGTATGGGATGTGTGTTGTCAAATAAATGTGGATGCAATTTACACCAGGACAGTGGACTATCCATGACTATAGACAAATTAGAATTATTAGTGTCATTTTAAGATTCTCTCCTGTCTCTCTGTCACCGTTTAAATGAATAAACACAGCATATAATGAAAGGGAGCTTCATCCCAGCACCGAGCTGTAGCAAAAGTAGGGATTGATTTCAGTTCAATTTTTGTCTGCTTACACAGGATACTAATTTGAATTTGCAGCTGATTCCACGACCTGTGCAAGGATCCCACACAACACAGAGAATCTGCAATACTCGTCAAAGAACAGATAAAAATGGCGATGGACACAGCCCAGAGTGAAACAGGGTTGTGTAGACATGATGTTACGTGTTAAAACGGTGGACTGAAGTCCAACTTCCCAGTTAATCCACACTTTAGCGTGCAAAGTGTTGCCGTGGTGGCCTAACAAGCAGTCTCCTGCTTTCAGGCACTACCAAGCTTAGCTGAAGGTCTGGCTTGGACAAAGAAGCATTTTTTCTAACTCACTTTTGGCTAAACAACCTTTGACACAACAAAAGTAGTAAGTTCCCAAAAAGAACAACTCTGCATTGGTGATGGACTGTCCAGAGAAAGCAATGCAACCTTTATATCCTCAGTAAAAAAAAGCGACCCAAGAGTTTATTACAATTTTTGATACGTCAGAGATGTCACTAATACTTTAAAATACCTAACAAAGAAAGAAAATGCTCTTTACTAGCTGTAGAGAGATTGGTCCATGGTTAGTGCAGATCAGACTCTTTCAGGGGAGTTCGAAGATTGCTCCCATCCCACCCATCTTCTCCTTGAATTAATTAACATTAAAACTAGGCTTTTACAAGACAAGAGATGCTGGATAAAATTCTGATTCCCTTGAAGTCACTAAGAATTTGTCCATTGCTTTCAGCGAGGGCAGGATTTTACCTAGTATTTTTAACAGACTTTTATAAAATAGCATTGAAAAAGATCTCAAGGGCCATCCTATCTCTCCTCTCGCTGAAAGGCAGGATCAGCTACATCTATGTCAGTCCTGATGGATGTTTGTCTAACTGGTCCTGAAAGAGCTGCAACACTCGATAGCTCAGCTTCCATTTTCACCTGTTGCAAGATATGAGAAGAAAAAGGTCTTTTTTTACCAACTCTACCAGGATTTTTGACTGGTTTAAAGGACCAGTGACAGTTTTAACATCTGATGTCTCATGATCTGCTGAGGATAGGAACTAATCCTATCCGCCCCCAGGGAGCTTTCCCACGATTTATTGAGATTTTTGCCTTTTATCTCTTCTGCTGAGGGAACTGGGGCTGTTTAGCCTGGAGAGGAGGAGGCTGAGGGGAGACCTCATCGCGCTCTACAACTACCTGAAAGGAGGTTGTAGCGAGGTGGGGGTTGGTCTCTTCTCCCAAGTAACCAGCGATAGGACGAGAGGAAATGGCCTCAGGTTGCGCCAAGGGAGGTTTAGACTGGACATCAGGAAAAACTTCTTCACTGAAAGAGTGGTCAGGCCTTGGAACAGGGTGCCCAGGGAAGTGGTGGAGTCACCATCCCTGGAAGTATTTAAAAGACGTGTAGATGAGGCGCTTCGGGACATGGTTTAGTGGGCATGGTGGTGTTAGGTTGACGGTTGGACTTGATGATCTTAGAGGTCTCTTCCAACCGTAATGATTCTATGATTCTATGATTCTTGAGATATCTGACATGAAATCATGTCATTCCGATTCCTGTCTTGTCTTTTCCTCCACCATTTCAGTTCTGGTCTGATTTCACTGGCTGCCCCATAAGAACCGATAGTTAAAACTAATGCTTTTCTTTACCTGAAGGCCTGTCAGTCCTCCAGCGGTGCAGCATAAAGTGCGTAATTCCAGTTCTAGGAGTGAAATGCCAACTACTGTAATTACGTTGGCAACATGGAAAGGCAGGGAGGCAACAGAGCAACAACGACCAGGCAGGACTGGAGCCTTACAGGGGAGGAAGAGAAGAAGGGGTGGGCAAAAGAAGAAATATTTAAGTCTGGAGCTTGCAGATGAGCACCTCTATGGTTTGGTTATGCTTCCAGAAACATCACTGGTCATTAACTGCCCTTTGCCTGCAATCCAGTGCTCACAGAAACAAAGTAGTGTCTTTGCTTTGGTTTCAAGAATACCTGAATCACACTCAAAAACAGTAAATCACAGCTCCTCATTGACAGGCAATTTGAAATACACTCCTTGCATCCCCTGTAACTACAGGAAACCTGCCCCACAGCTGCTCAAAATACATTTATGGTTTAGGATGGGAAACACAGACACAAAGATTAACATTTACAGCTGGTATTTCTGAAAGTGAAGGTCTGAGGCAGATGCTCACATGCAGCAGTCAGAGAACGAGAGGTGGATTTCCCATGCATTCTCTCTCATTCCAGGGTACACCATGCATTAAGCTTTCACAATAAAGAAAATTTTTTAAAACTTGCTACACGGAATCCAACAGCAAATAGCACAATTCGTTGTTGATACAGGATGTGAGAAAAGGCTTTGTACTTGGAATCTGCTCTTAACCCTTACTGAGGGTTTTATTCCCCAAATGCAAACACTTAACAATTTCTACTGGCGAAAGACAAGACAAACAGCCTTTTCAACCAAGCCATAAAATATCTAGTTTCATATATAATCACAAAACCTCCTGACATTAAAGGGTCCCAGCTTTGCACATGGGACAAAGTTGATTAATGCTGTGAGAGACTAGCAGTGGCCAAACCAGAGTTTCAAATATGACTCTTTGCCAGAAGGCTCCTCTGCACCATTACTGCCACCAAACAGCACGTCACTAGGAAGGCAGGAGGAAAGTAGTGGGGCACTGGAGGAAGAATGCCATGCTGCTGGCCAGAGAAACCCTTACACGCTGTTTGCAGGAAAAATAGCGACTGCCTTAGAGGCTGGGATGGAGAGTCTGCGTAAGAACCGGGACCATTGCTGGGATATACGACCCATGGGGATGCGTCTTTAGCATCACCTTGGCATCTGTGGCTTTGAACTTCCTCAAGAGTTTGGTAGCATTCATTGAGAGTTGAAATCAGCTTCCTGGGGCAGCGGGAAAGCTTTTTCTGCTCAGTGCTGTCTAAAGAATAGGTTCCTGAAGGCATTGTTGTAGTTTTTGTTGAAAGCAGTGTAGATGAGTGGATTAAAAAAGGAATTTGAATAGCCTAGCCATAGAAAAATACTCTTCCAAATGGGTGGGATGTCGCACGAGCAGAGGGGGTTGATGAGCTCTGTGATGAAGAAGGGGATCCAGCAGAGCACGAAGACCCCAATAAGGATGCCCACCATGAGGGCAGCTTTCTTTTCCTTCTGCTCTCTCCACGTGTCTCCGTCCGTCTGGAATGTAACAGTGGCATGACGGACAGTGAAGACCATCTGTGGCTGCTGGGCAGCTTCTTTTACCTGCCAAACACAAACACAAGTTGCACCATATGTGCCTCAGTCAGCTGATCCCACACCGCAGGTACACAACCAAACTATGCAAGCGATGGCCAGAGCTCACGGGGAAACGCAGGCCATCTACGTCACGCTCTAATGGAGGGGAGAGTGGTTGTATGACCCTCTTCTGGGTAACGGAGACTATTTTTAGGTGAGGCTAGAAACTAAAGAGAGTAGTGATATATGGGCACATGGAATTGCTCACACAGCATTACAGTAAGATTATTTCCCCGTTTACAATCAGATCAGTAGAACAGGCACACACCCACATGCCGTGCACAAAAGTCTCCTTGCTTTCTCTGAATCCATTGAGTTTATGAGTCCTTGGTAGGAGAGGCAAGAAAATGAGCATACATTTCCTTCCTCCCCCCAAGAAGTCTTTACAGTGCACAGTCACCGTGCCTGGGATGAACTGACACGATGCAGCCACGATCAGGAAGGATTTACAAGGACGCTCTGCACGTGCGTCTTCTGCGTGGGGAAATTCACAACCTCCCCAAAGCCACAGCTGCTTGCCAGGTTATCGCTCCCAGCGGAGATGGGATCCCATCCATTCACACCCCCACATGCCTCCCCACGGGAGGAACGGTGACCCCTTACTCACGCTCGTGAGCACTGATTCAGCATTCCACGGGGGGACGTCTGTGAGTCACTGCACGCCCACGTGGAGCTCAGGCTCCCAATCTGGCCCAAAGTTGCTTTAGCTACACCTTGCGTGCTCAGGGGACTCGGAAGGAGTCAGAAGACTGGGCTTGCAAGCTTTGCAGTCAACTTTCCCTTGAAAGCCTCCAGGATTCACTGGGCTTTGGTGGGATGCTGTTTGCTCACACACTTTAGCTCTAAGTTTCCCCCACTACTGCAAGGGCTTGGCTGTTGCCAGCAGTTGACTAGAGCAAAATACAACCGAGTTGACCTACCTCCAGGGCTTCTGGGGTAATGGGAGTGATAGAGTTGCTCTGCCGAGATCCAATTCGAAACTTGGCAGCCTTGTAGATCTTCCAGTACACAAAGAGCACCACGCAGAGGGGCAGGTAGAAGGCGCCAAAGGTGGAGAAGATGGTGTAGGAAGGCTCCTGGCTGACTTGGCATTCCTCACTGTCCTCTGAGTAAGTCTCTCCCCAGCCAAAGAGCAGCGGGGCCAAGGAGATGAAGGCAGAGAGTGCCCAGGTGAGGGCAATCATGATGTTGGAGATGCGGCGCCGGATGCGGAGCGTGTACTCCAGGTGGCGGGTGATGGACCAGTAGCGGTCAAGGGCAATGGCTGTGACGTTCCAGATGCTGGCGGTGCAGCACAGCACGTCAAAGGAGATCCACACCTGGCACAGTGACCGGCCCAGCTGCCACCGCCGCCCGGACAACTCGCGCACCAAGCTGAGGGGCATGACGAGGGCCGCCA